CCGGTCTGTGTAAAGACCAAGTTATCTTCTTGCAGTCATCTCCTGGCATTTTAAAATAGCTCTGCAGATGAGCTTGCTCATTTCTGGAAGAATGTTAGAATTGGCTCATTCTTATATTCGCTCATCAGAACCAACCTCCCTATAGGTCACTAAGATCCAGGCTCTTCCAGTCCCTCTCCCAGGGCTGCACAGCACATGAGTGGCAGTGTTGGGACTCAGACCCCACATCACCAAGTCTAAGTCCAGAGTTATTTTACATTACTAGAGTCCACTCAGGGCTGTAAGGAGTGCTGAAGAATGTTCAGTTTCCTAGCCTCATACAACAGTCAGTCAATGCTTATAAATATAATTTCTTCCAAATGAAATTGGGGCAAGTAATTACTTCCTGTGACAAGGAAACATCTGAATTGGAGTAAATAAATTATGAGATATCCCAACGGTAACCTCTCCTATCCCTGCTTTGGCTCTCATTTCCATTTTTTATAAACCTCTTACCATGTATTGTTTGCTATTGTCACCATGTGGCCATAAATTAGTAGTTACAGATATACTATCTGGGAAAGAGAACCTATAAAATTTCTCTTGTACAGATAAGTCAGAGGAGTAAGATTTTCAGAAACACAAATTATTTCTAAGTCCCTGTTTCCATTGTATTGATCCAATGATTTGGTTGGAATCCTTTTCTGGTTTTAAATCTCTTTATAGGAGGTTAAGTGCATCGTCAACTTTAAATAAATATAAAGCCAGGTATTCAATATTGACATTTATTTATAGCAATACATACTGATACATTATTTCTTTAGTTGCTGAGAAGAAAAGTCAGGTCTGTGCTATATTCAGAATTTAAGATTATTAAACAGTGTGATCCAGGAAAGAAACATAAAATGAAACGGAAGGGATTGCATTTATAGGACACTTTTAAAGCAGTGACCAGTCAGGGAAAATCTAATCTTTTATAGTGTTATTTTAATTCTAAGCACCCAGACTGAATTTTAGTGAAGAAATAAATCACAGTCAGTAGATGGCTATGAGAATGTAAAATGGGTTATGGGGCTGGGGGAGAAAAAACAAAACAAAATAAAAAAATACTCTTCCTACATTTGCCAATAGTATTTATACTTGTTTTTACTTAATGATGAAAGCAAACAGTGAGATTCAGCCCCTGGGTATGCCCACACTTATCACACCAGCTTTGTGTTTCAGAACACCCCCAGGCTGTTCTGTAATTACCTGAAATACGCTAAGTCTCTGTGACCAAGGTGAGTTTCACCCTCTCTGTGGTCAAGATGAGCTAGTCTGTGATGAACCTAAATATATTCCAGCTCCAGATGTTGCTAATTTTCCCAGGTCAAGGAAGTGCAGCTCCTATTTCAAAGTGGATTTTTTTAGGAAATAAAGCATCCATTTGAATTCAGAGGAAATTGATAGTTTTATAGTACGTATCAGACAAATTGTGGCTATTTTCACCTTTTATATTATTTGGAAAGAAGACTATTACCTTTTTCAGATGTGATGGGAGAGATATAAACCATTTTTCATTTAATCACTCATTCATTCATTGACTATAGAGTATACGAAGGTTATTCTGAGATCAAGATACCTAGTGGTTAGAAAAGGACAGTGTCCTTCCGATTTCATTTCAAATATTCTAACAGCTTTGTTACATGAGAGACATATGGGATATAGGGGATCCCCAGAGAGTTCTTCCAAGGGCAGTTTTCGTGACTGATATGAAGGTGTCATGTTCTAACTTCTGAGCCTCTTTTACTTGTCACTGTAAATAGGCATAAAGTTTGCATCCCAGCATAATGTAAGTTTCTCCCCTCTGTGTGTATGGAATTAATGATAGTAAAGAAGGGGGACAAGGACTGTTCCTTTCACCCATAAACTTCACTTTGGTGGAAAATAAAAGACAAATATTGTGCACATTCACTGTGCAGAGCTGGCTTCACGGGCATGCAGAGTCCCACCACGAAGAGCCCTGTGCTTGGTTTAATGCTCTGCTGTCACTGTTTTGGAACTCTTCATAATTTATGAACAAGAGGCCCTGCATTTTCATTTTGCAGTGAGCCCTGCAAATTATTTTGCAGGTCCTGCCCATGGCAACACTTGTTCTTCTTGGCTGTGTTGGTCTGTCGTCACCTCCAATCATATGCCGTCAACATGTCCACTCTCTCTTCAGGTCAAAGAAATAAACGAATAAGAAACTTTCATTGACGTTAACTAAATTCTTTCTAAATTAACTTAAAGTACTGTTTCCTATGGTAGGTTTATGACATAGATTTTTAATAAAGCTGTGAAAACTATCCAAGTGGATTTCCTATAACACAATTCTTTCTTTGGTGGGGTTGTTGCTGTTCATGTTTTTGTCTAATTACTTCCAAGTTAGTCTTGATTTTCTGCTTTTTTTATTTTTTTAAATTGTTGAGTATACTATCTGGCTTATGTTTATTTAAAATAAAATTTGAGAAAAATTTCAATTAAAATGTGTTTTTCACCTTGGATAGTAAGCAGCTTTTTGCCTAAGCCTGCGTCACCTGGCTTTAAGCTATAAATCGAGGCATTTGCTTTGGAAGCAAATCCTGTTGCGGTTAAGTAAAATATTTCATTTGGAACTGTATGGAATTAAAAATCATGGCCCTCAAAATCATACTATTAATAACTTTGGAACACAGTTTCTGCTGCTTTGGTGCCACCCAACATGTTCAGTCCAGGGGTCTCCTTTGTGTCTCCAAGGTAAATGCAGTTTCCATTTCTCTTAAGAGAAGCATTGAGTGTTTGCTCATCGGCTTTTAAAGCTGGGTCCCAAAACTTTTTTCTTTGCACATGTTGGAAAAAAAACATTTCAAAGGGCCATGTTTCTTTGTTCTCATGGAAGCCCACAATTAGCTGAAGTTCCACTCTGTGTAGCCAGGAGGAGGAAGGGGTGGCCCGACAGGCCTTTTGCTGCCTGTGAGAAAGTGCTCCTCCAAGTTCCTTTGTCCTTTATGGCAGGGACGGCTGCCTCCCTAATTGTACCGCTGCGGGGAAGCACGTGCCTCTGGGAGCATTATCTGATTCCCACAGGACGTTCAGAAGTGCTTTGTATACTGACCCTTCACTTGAACACAAATAATATCTTTTCAGTCCCCTTCCCAGGCTCTTGCCACAGGCCTGGAAACCGAACAGCTTTAATTTAGCCAGGGGTGTGGACATGGACACATTTGTATGGGCCTCAGGTTGTATTTTTTTCTCTCCCCTGGTTGTCTTACCTACAGTTTGCTGCACCTGTCAGTTGGGGAAGCCGAAGGTGGAGGAGAGGAGAGGAATAGGAGATGGAGAAGTCAGAGGGGAGGGAAGGCGAGACAAACAGCTGCTCTTGTCAGCATGGGGATAAGTGTAAAGAGATTAATAGTTATTTGAAGAGCAAATGGGGACGTGGCATTCGGCAGTGGAATGCGAATGTATAAATGCAATGGAATGAGCAGGCGACCGTTAACATTTAGACAGATGCTCTCTGGACTGAATGGAATGGCAGAGTCCGTTTCTCCTCCCCGCGTGAAGTGAAATACATAAGGTTTAGTAAAATACTTCTACTAAACTTTAATTCCGTTTTTTAAGCATCTATTTCTTTTTGAGTTTGTTCCCCATTGTTTGACTGAGCCTGGGCCTCTCAGGGTTATAGAGGGTGGGGCAAAAGTAGGTTTACAGTTGTGAGTACAGGAAACAGAGTTTATTCTTGAATTATTATTTATTAATTATTGTATTTTCCAGATGAACAATTGTAAAGCTACTTTTGCCCCACCCTGTGTTTCAGCTGAAGAGGCAGACAAGTCATTCCCTTTAAGAAAGAGGTACCACAGTGCCACAGACCTGCCTTCTCTTTTTGATTTTGGCTCGGTTTCCCTTCATTAACTGGTAGAAACAATGAGATTCCTATGTGTCAGAAGGTCTCACAGAGGGAAAACTGCACGACAGGGCCCTTCTGGAAACACGTCCAGTTTGACTCAGGTTTAGGAGTGACTTGAATCGTCTGATCGGGCTGACAGTTGTGATGGCGTGGGCAGGGCCCCGGACTCGGAGTCAGAAGATTTGGTTTCAGAATCCCTATTCTTTGCTTATTAGCTGATGCTTGAGCAAATTGCTTCCCCTCTCTCATAGTAATACAGGAAAGTTGTCTTGCCGATTAAATGAGAAGAAATTGATTCATTCTTTCCATAAGCATCTTACTGAGTACCTCTGTGCTCAGCTCTGTTCACATAAATACATCTGGCAGAAGAGCTTCACTGAGTGAAAGTACTTCGGAATTATGTTGAATTTTAGTCATAACTATGTGGTACTTCTCTTACACATGTTCTACTCTAGAAAAGAATACACTGCTAGAAGATGAAAGAACAGATTAAAAATTAGATTGTGTTTGGATGATATAACTGGCATGTTACCTTTTCAAAGATGTAGTTGGTTCTCTAACCCTGCACCCATGCCCCTCCAGTCTTTATGAAACTAGCCCTTCCTAAAGAGGGGGGACCCTGGATACCCTGGCACAAATTTAGAATTATAAAACTATATACTGTATATGCCCCCAATAATTTGATGTTTAAACCCCCTTGAGAACACACCTACCAGGTGGTCTTTTTCATTCTGAACAGCATGGCAGAAGAACGGGGGAGGAGGGAAAGGAAGAGCAGGCGGTATTCATGTATTTTAAAGAATTCCTAAGCAGCTACTCAGCAGTGGGCACTTTTTGCCTGTTTGTGAATAAGCAGATATTCTACTTTCAAATGCTCTTGAGAAGACCACAGTCTCCAAAGGCTGTGTGATCTGTACAGGTCATTACCACGCACACACCCACGACTGAGACTTCTCTTGTTTATAAATGTGTAATTCCAACAGACATTTTACCTTGAATATTAGTGATCTGGGGCTCAACTCTGTAGAATACATTCTCCAAATCGTGTGTTTTTTGAAGCAACACTCTGCAGCCTAAACGGCTAACACGGAGGTTTCTGGGTGTCTTGCAGCCACAGTACACGAACCTGGGGCTCCTGAACAGCATGGACCAGCAGATCCAGAACGGCTCCTCGTCCACCAGCCCCTACAACACAGACCACGCGCAGAACAGCGTCACGGCGCCCTCGCCCTACGCGCAGCCCAGCTCCACCTTCGATGCCCTCTCGCCATCGCCCGCCATCCCCTCCAACACCGACTACCCGGGCCCACACAGCTTCGACGTGTCCTTCCAACAGTCCAGCACCGCCAAGTCCGCCACCTGGACGGTAAGAGCCCTGGGAGCCAACGGATGGGCCGTTAAACCTGACCCCCAAGGACAAGGGTCATCTTCAACATCCCTCGGGGACTTCTCCCCCTTCAAAGCTGAGAGAGCCATAATTCATGGTGGAACATGGCTCCCTGTCCTCCAAGGACATTTTGTTTTTGAATATTTAATAATGAACCAGAGAGAGAAAAATTGCCACTTAGTGGGAAAAGCCCTGATCTGGGAACCAAAGGCCTGTGTTCCCGCTGGCTCCTGTCAAGTGAATCTGATGTGTTCTTGCCCGATTCATGCTGTTGGGAGGTCCTTTGTGTGAGTGTTTTAAAAATGTAAAGTATTATGCCCATAAGAATGATCGTAATCATAGGACATGTGTTTTCAGTCCCCAGAATGGAGGATGGCTCCCAGGTTCATTATTTCAGAGAAGTAAACATTAAGGTGTGGTTTTAAAAATATTAATAAAATCACAAACACAGCTTCCATAACAAAAACTAAAATCTCATTTATTAAGGAAGAGCTATATTTAGTTGTACACACAGGTTCTATAACATGGATTATAATTTATTGATAACATATATATTTATTACTTAGAAACATGTTTCCCAAAAAGAAGCCTCTAAAACTATATATCGGAGCCCTGAGTGAGTTCAAAAGTATTCTGCTTTAAAATGTTGAAAATAAACAAACCTTCCAATTTATAACTTTTCTAAGAAAACATGAAAATATTTTCAAAAAGTCAAAAGCTACAAGAATGTTCAAAGTTTATTTTGTAAAGGATTATAATATGAATAAAGCTCAAGTATAAGGGAAGGGCCCTAGAAGACTGGTTTTAACTGGCTGATCAAAGAATGCCCAAGACCAAAGCGGCATGCATGTTTGTCAAACAATTTAATGTTTGCATGGATTATAGAAACGCTTCCAAATATCATCATCTTGTTGAGAAGTCGATTTAGAATTATTTTAACAGTATTCTCCCCCTTCATTGGCAAATAGTTTCTTTAGAAAGCATTCTCTTTTTGTGCTAAAGTACCCAGCTCACTACATGCTTTAATCCAGTTGAACAGAGTTTATGAAATCATCTGCATTCATAACACTACATTCCCACATAATTTCACACGTGTTCTCATTCTGACCTCACTTCTTTGTGAGCCAGGTAGGACACGTTTGATAACTCCCATTTTACTAGTGAGGAAAGCTGAGAAATGTGGGGGTTAGGTGACATCCCTAAAGTTACAGAGGCTTTTGTGTAGCTGGATCTACTTCTGATTCTACCCTCCCCCACCAGATCGTGTCCTTTCTTTCTTCACCATTGTACATCAGGATGTCCCAGAATCATCTAAAAATTTATTTTAGTGCTTTTCTTTCATGGTGTGAGAAGCGGTTCTGTCATGGTTCATATTTCAACCATAATGTCTAAGTATTCACTTAAAACTTGATCTCTACTGCATGTTATTTATCAACTGTGTCATAATCTTTAGTCTCTTTTATAGTAATAATCCTGGTGATGGGCACTAAAGGTGAGTAAACTTAGAGTCCATAGGCCTTAAATAAATATTGGTTGATCAATCTAAGTGAGCTTTTGCTGAAGAACCAAGTGAATAACCATTTTATAAATAGAGCACTGGTATGTTTAGAAGAAGGGTCACCAAATGGGACGTCTACAGTCACTGTTGTTCCAGGCTAACCGTTTCCTCGTTGGCACACTCAGGCTGCGTTCTAGCATAAGAGTGGGCACATCTGAAATGACGGGGGCCGTGATCGTATAGCTGTTAGTACTCTGTGTTGTGAAAAGATGATGGGCACATTGGGCTACTAAATGATTAATTGCTTCTCTTTTAAAATGGAGTTTGATAGAGGTACTACATTATATCAGTCTTCCTCCCTCTCCCCTTCCTCACTACCTCCTCATACAGAAATCTTAAGACTTTCTTTTTTTTTTTTTATCAGATTTAGCACAATCCTCCATCATCTTTAATCATAGCCCATCTCTCATAGAAGTAAAATTGTCTCACAAAAAAAGGTTGGAGATTTCTACCTAAAAAAAGAAAATATTTTGCAGAGCACCCTGGTAGACTTCCCTGACATGTGGCAACGGTGAGATCAGTACCCTGAGAGAGGGGGTAGGCAGTGTGGTAATGGGAGCAGAGCACTGGCTGGGAGCTAGAAAACCAGCATTGTTGTCTTGATCATCTTAGTGACCTTAGCCAAGTCACTTCATCTTTCTAGAATTCAGTCAGTGCCTCTGATGAGGAAAAGAATGAGTATTGTGAATATGCTTTATGCTGTAAAGCGTGCAGTTAAAATTTGTTAAAATGATAAATTTAATGTTCTATGTATTGTCCCACAATTAAAAAGAAAGAAAAAGATGTGAGCCTGGAATAGCTGGGAACTCACTTCTTGGTTACATGGCCCATAAATTCCTTTTCGTTAAAAATAGGAAGAATGATATGGTGAAATCTACTCTCTTTCCTTAAGGTGAGATAATATTAATAATCAGCAAAAACAGTTTTTAGAAAGACTTGGGTTCTAATCAGGTGTTTGGCCTGACACCAGTGAGTGAACTTGGTTTTGCCTTCCCTGGGTTTCTATTCAGTTGTCTATAATCTATCCTATAGATTTTACAGAATAAGGTCATTAAATTAGATGTCTGTTCTTTCCTACTAATGTATCACATGGTGTTTAAATTTTTATTAAGTTATTTCTTGTTCACAACCAAGTTAATTTTAGGCCCACTTGCATTTCTTCTGAATCTAGGGCTCCTTAACCTTTATCTAAGTAGCTACTGAAACCACCTAAAAAGATATAAGTTCTTAACCTTGGACACCAGCAGCATCTAACTCTTTTTAAAGTAATTTCTACATACATTTATTTTATTTGAGCCTCATAACCATGGCTGTTATCCCCAGCCCTATAAGTGAGGAAACATCAAGAAGGAACAGTTATGTGGCTAATAACCAGCCAAGGAGGGAAAGGAACCCAGCCCCCCTCACTCCCAGTCCCAGTCTCTCCACTGTCCTATCTAGACTGTCTTCCCTCTTCATTAAGAGAAGGCAGAGAGGACAAGTAGACCCTGTGGAATATGGAGCTGAAACCCAACTGATGGAGGACATTTTTATGCCATATTACACAACACCTATTTCTCAGGCATCTGTGCACTTTAGAGCAATTTTTCAAAATAAAATACTATATTTTTAAACTGCCCACAACCTGGAAGCAGCAGAAGCAACTGCCATTAGGAGGAAGCCACACTCATTGCATAGTTTTCTGCTGATACTTTAATAAAAATCTTTTTAGTATCATTTTATCACTTGTCATCCCTCCGTATTGAGTTTTCTCTTTTACTTTCTGGTTTACTTAGGATTACTGCCAAAACATAATTAATATATTTAAAGCATATATGCATATTTTATTTGCTTTCTCTGTGTTTTAAATAACAAATGTGATCACATTTCCAGTTCCATAAAAGTCTGGTATTTATTTTAAACTTCTTACAATTAAATAAAATACGATAGCGTTCCATATTCTGCATTTCACATACACACGCATGCGTACACACACACACACAGACACAAACCAACACTGAAGTTAGGATTTAGTTTCAGGCTTCCTTCTTATGTCTACAGTGTGATTGCCACTAGTTATCAAGGTCTACCATTTAGTTTAATGACGTGCTGGCCTAGTATTGTAGCCAGGAATCATCAGTCATAGGACAGTTGACAGAATGCTAATTTGGAAATGGCAAGGAACTTAGGTGCAGACTTCAGCCCTGAAATTCACTAGCAGCACATTGGGACCCGCCCAAAGAATTCAATCTATCTAAACCCCACTTTCCTCACTGACAAACAGAGATGTTAGTACTTTGCTTATCATGAGGATTACGTGACACGTGTAAGGACACCTACCAGCACCTGGCTAGTCATGAGCACACAAGTGTTCAAGTCTGAGTTTGAATCCCTGTGTTTCATGAGTTTGTTAGAGTTTTGCTGAGGGTTAATTTGTACAAGTAGTAATGTGAAAGAATGCAAAGCAAAATGTCTTCTTAGTGCTTTTGGGCTACTGACATGCATACTCCAGTCCCCAGGGACTGTGATAATATCCACTATCCAAATATATGAATAGATGACACAGGATGATCACAGGCTTCCCATAGACAGACTTCAGGCTGGCTGTGCTCCTGTCCTAAGTCTGTGGCAGCTCAAGCATGAGTCCTTCCCAGATATAAGGACCCGCATTTATTTCTCGTTTTTAATCTGCCACTTAATTTATGGGGATCCTTTTTTTTTTTTTAATTCTCCATGTTAAATAAAAGATAACAGTGAACCATACTTGTTGAAGAGTCAAAAGTACTGTAGGTAGCCTAAGCACGCACCAGTGAAGAACTAGTTCAGTAAATTGTGGCATCTCCATATAGCAAGATATTCAATGTCCATTTAAAAGAATCTCAAGTGCTGATCTGCAATGCTTTTGCATTGCTAGTGAGAAAAAGATAAGCTTTCCATGGTACCTACTTGAGAATAGAAAGTAACCCTAAGGACACCACTTCTGGGGGACAGAGTGTTTTCCTTTGCGCTAGTGAAGAGGCCTATTTGGGAATATAGGTCAATCTGTCTTGATTATTGGACTTTGTCAGTCTGAGAGCTGTTTTTTTCACAACCTATGACGCACAGTATTATCTGTGTGCAAACACTGAAAATCCTTAGGTTCGTGTTTTTCTGTTGCACTCACGTTGAGATAATGGCCTGGCCTTGGGATGTATGGTCAATTTTTGCTATTGTGTCTTTCTTCCTTCATAGACTCAAGATCTTGGAAAGCAGGCACCCGGACCTAGTGCCCAGCACAATTTCCAGCATACGATAGGCCCTTAATAAATATTAAGAAACTTTATTTGTCCCTGATGGGTTAAGGAAACAATTATAGTTCCATGGAGTGTTCCTCATTTCCGATCTTGTTAACTGTCCATGAATTTGGTCCCCTGTGCCTCCATCTATGATTTATTGAGAGCTT